CCGTCGGACTGTGTCCTTGAGGAGACTGGCTCGCGACAGGGAAAGCGTGCAGGATCTGTGGATGCACGAAAGCGGTACTGCCGCCAGCCAGCGTCCAAGAAGGGACGAGACGTGGCAACCAGGAAAGCCTGAGAGTGCGCAGGACCCCTGGCCTTGTCGCCAGGCTGTCTCCTTGAGGCAATTGCTTCGCGACGGCGGGGGCAAGCGCGCTGAATATGTGGATGCACGAAAGGCGAAGAGACGTGAGCGTGTGCAGGAGAACCGATTCTGCTGCCGGGCATTGACCTTGAGGCCATTGCCTCGCGACGGGGGTAACAAGCATCTGTGGACGCATGATGAAAGCTGGCATTTCCGCCAGCCAGCGCCAAAGGGGAGATTCACTGTGGTAGCGGATGGACGTGAGTGCAGGACCGCCGGCCTTGCCGCCGGGCTTTGTCCTTGAGACAGATGCCTCGCGATGGGGTGAAGCCTGCAGGGTCTGTGGATGCACACACGTCAACGCGGCCGCCAGCCAGCGTCCAAACGAATACGGAACGTGGAAAGCAGAGAGGCGTGAGAGGGATCAGGGCCGCCGGCCTTGCCGCTGGGTTGCGTCCTTGACGCGACTGCTTCGCGACGGGGGCGACCGTGCATAATTTGTGGATGAAGGGAAGTCAGCATAGCCATCAGCCAGCCTCCCAAAGGAGACGAGTGGTGGTGACCGTAAAGACGTGAAAGTGCGTTGGACCGCCAGCCTTGGCCCCTGTCTGTGCCCTTGAGTCAAATGCTTTGGGACGGGGCGTGAGGGTGCGTAGGGCCGCCAGCCTTGCCGCAGGACTCCGTCTTTGAGGCAATTGCTTCGCGACGAGAGTAAGCCGAGGCTGTTTCAACACACCTGGGTGAAGATTTTGAGGGCCTCGAGGTACACACCTCGATTCGAAGACATCGAGATGACGGCCTCGTGGTGAAGACCTCGGGGTGATCTTCGACGGGGTGGAGACCTCTCGGTGAAGACCTGGGGGTGGAGGCCACGAGATGACAGCATCGAGGCGAAGGCCTCGGGCTGCGTATGACAGCTGGCCTTGCCGTTGGGTTGCATTCGAGGTAAGTGCCTTGTGCGACGGTGTCGCCCCAGCTTGCTAACCCCTGGGGTGATTGTGCAGGTTCTTTTTCGGGCGTGTGCCATGCGCCCCCTTTTTACCAGCGCCTCATGCGTCCTGCATAACAGCCACCCCAGGGGCTGCGGAAAGCCATCGGCATGGGGACGGAGGAAAGAAGGAGGAGAAGGAGGAGGAGGAGGAGGAGGAGAGGAAGAGGAGAAGAGGAGAGAGGAGAAGAGTCGGGGGTGGACAGACTTCGACGCGTCGATTAAGGAATTGGCCGTTTTCGGTTCGCGAGAGGGCGTCGCGGCCGTCGTTTTTGCGGGTCCAGGTCCGTCGGTTTCGGCCCCAGGCCGTTTTCACTAAAGGGAGGTAGAGGAGAGAGAGGAAGCGGGAGGGTCGGGTCCCAGTTCTCGGGTCGGACGACATGCGGGGGGATTGGGAAAAGGGGGGGGGGAATCTGTCGCCTGCGCCTGATGTCGGCCCCGCCGCCAGTTCAGGAGCGAACGAAGGACGTACATGTGCATGAATCCACGCTGGTTTTGAGAGTTCGCATTGCGCGAATGTTCGTATCGCGCGGCAGGTCTCGCGGGTCAAGGGGCCGCGTTCATGTACATAGCTGGGCGCGTACGTCCTTTGTGGGCTCCCTATCAGTAGCGTGTCTGCGCCCAGGCGCGGGGAGGCGTCGGGAAGACCAGCTGCGTGAACTGTTTTGCTTGGCCCCCCTCTGCTGTCCGACCACGGGGGGGAGGGAGGACAAGGGGGGGAGGGAGGAACAGGAGGAGCAGGAGGAGGAGAAGGAGGAGGAGGAGGAAAAGGAGGCGGAAGAGGAGGAGGAGGAGGAGGAGGAGGAGGAGGAGGAGGAAAAGGAAGCGGAAAGAGGAGGAGGAGGAGGAGGAGGAGGAGGAGGAGGAGGAGCAGCAGGGAACGGGAATGATGAGGGAGCAGGAGGGAGGAAAGACGGAGCAGCAAGGAAGAGCAGGGGGAGGGATGAGGAGGCAGAGTGTACGATTGTGACGAGCAGGGGCGGGGAACGAGCAACAGTGGCCAGGAGGCCGAGCAGAAGCGGGGAGTGGTGGCTGGAGAGGAGGAGCGCGGGCAGGAGGAGGTGAGAGAGAAGAGGAAGAGGAGGAGGAGGAGGAGGAGGAGGAGGAGGAGGAGGAGGAGGAGGAGGAGGAGGAGGAGGAGGAGGGGAGGAGGAGGAGGAGGAGGAGGAGGAGGAGGAGGAGGAGGAGGAGGAGAAGAGCGGGGACGAGCAGCTGCGGGGGGCAGGAGGAGGTGTACGAGAAGCCTGAGGAAGGAGGGCGGAGGAGGGGGAGGATGTGGAGGAGGAGGGGGGGGGAGGAGGAGGAGGAGGAGGAGGAGGAGGGGAGGAGGAGGAGGAGGAGGAGGAGGAGGAGGAGGAGGAGGAGGAGGAGGAG